CTGTGGTGGTTTTATCTACTGATTGCAAAGTTGGTGTATTGTCAATTGTTATATTGTATGATAGCTTGAATTGTGTAAAGTGCTTTAAGTGGTTATTGGAGTTATACAAAGAAGTTCCTGTGCGAGCAAAGAGTTAAGAGAGACAAATATGAAGTAGAATGGTACGTTTATAAGTTTATAGTACCACTTTTTTTTTTTTTTTTTGCGACGATAAAAGATAAGCTGTATTAATATGCTCTAGTTTATATTAATTAATTGACTGCTTTCTTTTTTTTTTTTTTACATATATATGAAACTGTGTAAGATAAGTATCAATCTTGCTATTACTTTGCTATTGCTGTTGTTTGTTTGTTTGATATTAGTTTTTTTTTTTATGTTCAGGCTATGCTAGAACATGCTTTTGTTATTGTTATGTTCCCATTTTATTCCCTTTTTTTTTTTTAATTATTATTATTATTTATTATTCACAGAGTAAATATACTTATAATTGTCAATAATTTTGCAGAAAAGCCAAAAAGAAAATGGGGCAGGTAATAACAGAGAAGTTAGTCAAAGCTTTAGAAAACATAAACGTTGTGATTGAAACAGAGTTAAAGGAAGCTCCAGTTACGTGGAGTCACACATGGACATGTGACACCTACAAACAATTAGAGCATATTGCAAAGACTACAAAAAAGGTGTGGAGCAAAACGAAACTAGTGAAAGAAGAGCATAGTATTAAAAAGAGAATAGAAGAAAGATGTGAGAATATCTCTTCAAACCAAAAGAGTATGCTAAATAGCATATTAGAAAAACCTTACCAGAGAATCAAGTTAAATAGGGTATATGAAGAAATAGAAAATAATATCTTCTTGGTCAATAGCGAAATAGAAGTTATGAAAAAGGTGGAATCTTTCTTTGAGAAGCAATTTAGAAATAGAAACATAGATATAGAGTTATTAAGTACATCCTGGGCAGAGCAATATAGTTCTAAAGAGAATATAGATGAGGAATGGTACAAAGAGGTATCATATAAAATAACAACAGAAGATTGGAATGAGGCTTTGCAGAAAACACAAAATAACTCCGCCCCAGGTCTCTCAAGTATCACGTACCCAGTCCTCAAAAACATCGGTACAAAAACGAAAGAAGCTTGTACAAGGCTTCTATCAAAGTGTATAAAGACTGAGAACATTCTGCTGAAATGGAAAATTGGAGTTTTATACCCAATTCCTAAAAGAGAAGATTGGAACTATGATTTGAATAATGTACGCCCTATTATTCTTCTAGAGAATGTCCGAAAAGTGCTAAGTAGAGTAATAATGAAAAGGCTAGGACAGGTTTTTAAAAAGCACAATATACTCAAAGGTCCAAACTACGCGGGTCTTACAGGAGAAAGCACAGAGGACCCCATACATATCCTGAACTGTATTGCAGAAGAAGCACAGGAAAAAAAACAAAAGCTATGGATCCTATTACAGGATATGCAAAAGGCATTTGACACTATAAGCATGATATTGCTAGAGTTAGCCCTCAAACGAATTAAGATGCTGACAAACATACAGAAGTATATTATTAGCCTGTATAAATATAGGGAATTAGAGGTGATAACGGCATATGGGAGCACTAGAGTAATTAAAGCAAAAGACGGGATAAACCAGAGGAGGTGCTATCACCTCTAATATGGTGTATTTTTTATGACCCACTGTTGTGTGAAGTGCAAAGAATTAAAGAATGAGGTTATGAGGTAGCGGTGCCGTGGTCTACAGACCTAAAAAAAGGAGAGATCACTTGGATAAAACAGAGACAAGCTGTTGTGGCATACACTAATGACACAACTTGGATCGCAAAATCCAAAACAGAGTTATTAGAAATCTTCAAAAAGGCTAATGAATTCTATAAACTAAATGACATTAAAATAAACAAGAAGAAATCAGAACTTATTGTAATTAATGGGGACATAAGCCAAAAAGATAAAGAATACAGCATTATTAGTGAATATGGAGTGGAGATAAAAGCAAAAAGAAATGATGAAGCAGCCAGATTTTTAGATATGTGAATCTCAGAGAGAAATAAGAAAAATTGTAGTACGGGCCTAGTAGAAAGAGAGGTTGCTGGATTAGTAAGAATCTTAAGAAAGAAGAAAGTATCTTTGGGGCACCTGCAATATATAAACAATAGAGTATTATTACCAAAATTAGAATATTAACTAAAATGCCAAGTAATAAGCAAGCAAGCTTGTGACAGAATCCATAGACCTTTCCTCAACTTACTCAAATGAAAAGCAGGTTTAGCTAGTACTACGGCTAATAGTATCATTATGCACCCAAATTTGGTAGGGGTGAAAGGCTTGTTGCAAGGAAAGGTGGTACAACAAGTTTCTAGTTTAGTTAAGAGACTAAATAGTATAGAGTTGGTAGGGAATATAACCTGGATTAGACTAAGACAAGCACAGATCGATAACAGAAGCAGCAGATGCATAATCAAGTGGTCCGCTCAATGGCTGAATGAAGCAGAAATAAAGCATAATTTTAATGCAAATATAGTTAGAGATGCCACAAAATTAGGTATAGAACTGGAATACAGTGAAGTGGCAAAGAGTATGCACTTAGGTGAAGAAACAGAAATCTGGTCTATATTAAGTAAGATCGAAAGAAAACAGTATATAAAAAGCAAGTTGAACAATATTATATTTATAGAACAATTGCTCAAAGAAGAGGGATCAACACTTTTAACCTGGTGCCAAGTGAAATATCTAAGAGGAAATAAGGGCAAAGAGAAGAAGCCCTCATAGTTTATTAGTATCAAGGATGCAGTGATTAATAATCAGATAACAAGAGAGGTACATACAAAATACAAGTACAGAAGAAAGAGTCAAGTAGCTTTATTGCCCTTATTTCAGCATGTATCTGAAGATAAAAGAAAAGCAGAATAGGTCATATTACCAAATGAAAAAGGCACAACAGAATTGGGCCAGGTGGTTAAAAAAAGTAGAGGTAAACGAAAAGTAGAAGTAACTCATTGGAAAAGAGAGAAAGAAAATAAAAACATTTATGACAAATACCAAGGTTGTAGTTTATTGAACACGCAGAAGCCCAACAAATGCAAGTTAGGTTTGAAGTTAAAGAATAAACAAAGAGCATTAAAGAAAAACTACATTAAAAAGCAAAAAGAAAAGAAAGTTCTGTATGAGGTGCCTCTAGCAAATTTTAGCAAAAGAGCCAACATACAAACAAATATACTCATCTCATTGTCAAGCCATACGGTAATGATCAAGAACCTAGAAGAAGATCTAATTGACAGATATATAGTAGAGCAGGTGTATAGGGAGAAAACCCAGAAGTCACTGCAGAAACTGGCGGGGTATGCAGAATTAGACATCTTTACAGATGGCTTCTTAGAGGAGAATAGCAGAAACAGAGAGCCAAAGAAAATGAGTATAGGTTGGGTCACAGCCAAAAAAGACACAGAAGCAGTACTAGAGCAGTTTGCAGGTGCAATAAAGGATTGGCCTTCTTCAACGAGAGCAGAAATAGGCGCTATAGAGCTTGCATTATTAGTGGTATCGAACAAATGCAAAGTACAGATTTTCACAGATAGTGCAAATGCAATTAGTGTTATTGAAAAAGTTAAAGCTAGCCTAAATGAAACAAAAACCACTAAGCTCAAGAACAGGAGCATCGTTGCAATGGTGATAAATTTGGTTAAGATTAAAGATATTGATATTAGCTTCATAAAGGTGAAAGGTCATAGTGGGGTTAAATTAAATGAGGTAGCTGATAGGCTAGCGAAGGAGGGTAACAGTTCTAAGGAGTGTTGCAGTTTTAGAGTAGAATGGTCTAAGTTAATGAAGGTGGTTCTGAGAAGGAATAGTCATATCGTTGATATACCTATTAGAGAAATGATAGACAATATAACAAAAATGTATTATAGCATAGGTTGGATAAATAGCAAATATATAGATAGTTTAATTAAAAGTAGTTCAGAAGAGAAATGGTTAAACTGGAGAGGAATATGGGGAATGCAAAAAAAAGAGGCAGGATATAGATGCAGAAGTTTAAAGAATAGTCACAGTTGGGTTTTTAAGATAAAGTGTATAAATGGTTTGCTGCCAACAATAAAGGTGCTTCACAGAAAAAATCTAAACCTCTACCCATTTGATTTTTGTGTCGCATGTTTCTGAGAAAAAGAAGATTTAGATCACTTAGCCATATGCGAAATATATGAGAAATTGTGGAGCAGAATAGAGAGTAAAGCATTTGAGAATGCTATAAAGAAAAAGTTAAAGAATAAACAGAAAGAAAGTGAATGAAAGATACGTAATATTACAAAAGAAGAAATAATTGGAGATTCTCAAGAGGCCATTTATGAAAACAGAGTTAACTGTATTAGAAGAATCTTCTGGGAGCTTAGAAATGAAAACAGATTACTAAGAGAGCTACGAAGAATTTACAGCCACAAGTTATGAAAACGCTTTCAAGAGGTGATCTGGTAACTAAGATGTGAAGCTATAAATGAATTCGAGCAGGGCAAAGGCATTACAAACTCACAAAAAAGAAAGCGAGATGAGAGAAGTGATCCAACATACAAGAAAACCAAGAAAAGAAAAACCCAAGAAGCAAGATTTGAAAGAATTTCAGCAAAAGAAGCAGATCGGAAATTGTGGGAGGAGACAAAGAAAGAAGTTAGGAAGGTAATTTCAACTAACGTTAAACCAAAGTGGTTGGGGCTTTATAGACCACACAGTTATAAAACTTAAACGCAGTCCTGACAAGGCTAGCAACTACCGTCCAAGGATCTGATGGATAATCTTTCAGCAAGTTGAAAGCCAAAAGGGAAGAAAAGAGTTGCTGTGGCAAATCACATCTGGGCACCTCTGAGTAGCCGGGTGAGCTTTTATTGAAGAGAAGGAAGGGTTTTTGGCTTTAGTGAAAAACTTATGTATTTAGATTACGCATTCCTTATACAATAAAGGCAGGATTGCCAAAAAAAAATATATATATATATAATTAAAATAATCAATGCACTATATTTCTGCATTGTCACTCCTTGATTCTATTGTTTGTTGTGCCTTTGTATATTTTTTTTCGTATGTTTTATATATATATATATTTTTTTTTGTATATGTGTAGAATGTCATTGCTTTGCTATTCACTCTTTTTTTTTTCGTTTGTACTGATTGGTACATTATCTATTTATTTATAGGACTTCTTCTCTACTTTTTTTTGGGAGGAGATTTTTGGCCCTCAGGTTTGTTGGTTGATGAGGCTCTGGTGAAGTAGCAATTCTATTCAGAATGACCTATCTTTCTATATTTTAAACATGCATAAATGTGTTAGCAGTTTGTTTTTTCGGAGCATCCCTTACAATTCTAATTGATACAAATTTGTCTTCTGTTGTTCTATGTAATATCATTTCTAAGATTGTATTTGTTGCTGATGTGGTATTTTTTAATAGTAGAAACATTGAGGTTTTCTTCCTCAGCTTCAATGTCCCTGTTCATTAGTGTTGTGTCCTGGTTGGTAGTTAGGTGTAGTCTGTGGTCTTCGTCATATACTGGAATCAAATATGACTAAAACCACATCCATGTACGATTTAAATATAAGTAACCAATCTGCTATGTTTATGAATTTTTAGTGGTTATTGCATTTATGGACCGCAATAATGCCTCCTTCGGTAGTCTGGAGTGTTTGTTCATCGATGTTGTTTTTGAGGTTTGCTTTTAAATTTTTATATGTAAACTTATGTAAATATATATAGAATCCAAAAGCAATGGCTTTCCATAAGTGAGGGGAAAGGTTTGGTTTGTTGGGTAATATTTCAATTATCTTCTGTCCTTTAGCCTAGTTTAAAACCCACCACAAGCATGTTTGTTTGATGATTGCTGCTTGTGGGTTATTGAAATTGTGAATTGGAGAAAGATTGTTGATGTTGCTATAGTCTAGGGAAGGGTACTTTCATGTAGTTGCCTTAATCTGTATAGCCTTGTTTTGGAATATACTTATTGGTTCATTTTCGAGTGCAGTGCTTCTTTTACTTTGTTGTTTTGTGACTGTGCTAATAATTAGATTGTTTAAAATTAGGGTTAATGGCAATTACCTTGTTGTTACTGACTGCTTTCTTTGTTAGTGGTGATGCTTTTTGATGCTGTGGTTGGATTGCAATCATAATTGTGTTTAGCTATTGGTATAGTTGATTTTTCACCTAATTGATTGATGTGTACTTGCTGTTGATTGATATATAAGTTCATACATTTATTCAACTTATTAATCATGTTTATTTGTGTGGTCATATTTTGATCGATGTATGATTTAATAGAGTTGATAATGGCAGTTGTCATTGCTTGACATGAGGAATCGATATATGCTTTTGTATTTGCATCAATCTTAGAAAAATCGATGATCAAAGCTGTCTGGTTTGTTCCTGAGTTATTGGTCGAACTAGGTAAAGTAGCATCATTGTCATATTTGCTAATACTTTTTCATATAATATAGTAACTGTTTGTTTATATTTATTATATCTATAACTATATACTAAAAAAATTTGTGTATAATGATAACGTTTAGATTACCTATATAAATTAATTTGATTAAATTGTGTAACTATAAATCGTAAGAATATTATTGGCTTACTTTCGAATAGATGCGAGAATAATGTAACACATTATTTTTTTCTACACGCCAAATAACAAAACAAATAAGTACTATACCAGCATTTTTTTTACATTACCTCACAATATGTAAATTCGTATTACCAAAATAATGAGTACGTTCTGTACTAAAAATTTTTTCTGTAAGATTTTTTTCTGTAAGACTAATTCACTTTTAATCACTTATAGACAAACCAATCTACTTACAATAATTCCAATGCTCATACTGCAAACTAACCAAACCTCAACTATTTATTTTATCTATTTTACCTATACAAAATATTCTACAGTAACTTATAATAACTTCATAATCTGCTAAAACTATCACAACCTTATTTTTACAGTACAGGGACATTTTCATATCATATTGGTAAATAAATTTATATTTATTTCTTTATAATTACATTAGAATTATGAATGATTAATATATTTGTATTTAGGAGAACCACCTCATCCTCAAACGATTAAGTTAGTGATATATATGTAGATCATAGTGCAAAAATGGTTCGTAATTTATCTATTATTATTATTTTTAAGTATGTTGTATCTAATATAGGCTGAAACATTTGATGAATTGTCAGATGAAGACTCAAGCAGTTGTTCTGAAGATTCCGATCATGATGATCATGATAATGAAGGTAAAAATAGTCACTATAAAAAGAAACGGACTGGTAGTCCAAATGCTTATGAACTGCAATTACATTATAAAGATATAGATTAATTATAATCAATACATAAGTATGTTAATTAGAGAGCATATTTCAGAAATAAGTATGAGCTTTAAAAATCAAATTTAAATTAAGAATGACCAAAGAATCAATAAAAGAGTCCATTTTACAAAGCAAAAATTTTTTTAAATAGTAGTTGTAAGATCAAAATACATTCTCTATTTTGATTTAACTCTGCAGAAACTTATAGCTCAAGAACTATGACACTTTACTTGGAAGATCTTGAAGAGAACAAAGTTCACGAGAGAAAACAAACAACTCTCCACAAATTGTTAAAATTTTAAAACTACGTGGTGGAGGACTTTCAGGGGACAGAAAAGTAAAATAGGATGAAAACGTTGTAAAATAAATATTGTTATTACTGCAATGTGGAATTTTTTAAAAAAAGCCGAAATGCTAAAATATCATATTTCAGAATTTCCAACTATACCATCATTAGCATCTGTGAACCCTGGTGTCTTATCCTGATGTCGGTAATTATTTTTTTTCTCGATTATTACTTTTATTTTTTACTTATATTGTTTTTTTGATGTACCTTATATACACACACCTAGAAAAAGTTGAAATCAGATAATTGTTCGGAAAGTTCTATGACTAGAAACAAAAATCATGTATGTCATCTAGCTTTTTTTTTCTTGCTATCAGGAATAATACTTGGAATATTAGCCATGCCAAAGAAGAGGTAATTGAGATTATTGAAAGATACGAGGACAAGAATAACACAGGAGGAGATATAGTAATATCTGATACCACAGCTGTTTATATTAGAAAAAGTAGTCAAGTAAAAAACGAAGAGACAAAGATAGATTATTTAGCCCAGGCTATTCAGACTTTACCTTCAGATGCTATTAAAAGGGTGAGAATAGTGGCAATTGGTATTTTTGATACAATAAAAATTACACGGCTACGATTGATATTCCCTTAGGCTCTTATACTCAACAGATAATTGGCTATAATAGTTCAGGGTCTTTTAACAAAAAATAAAGCAATACAAAATTTGGTATGAGCATGTATTTTATATTGTAAACTTTATTTTGTTAATTGCATCAAATTAGGACTTAGCTAAACAAAATAATATAATATATTAAATCTATCTATGTCATTTCACCAAATACTTTCGTCGTTTATAAGCCAAATATGAAAATAAGCAATATTTGATCGTCTAAAAGTGATATTAAAATTAGGTTGGTATTTTAAGTTTTAATTAATAACAATTCAGAATTTATTTAAAACATGTAGCAACGAAGATCTAATGAGCATATTATATCTATTGAAAAGTTTTCAACTTATCATTAGTAACGTTAACAATAATAGCCAACTTCTTTCCGACATTAAATATTTTAAGAAGAATACGAAAATCTGAATCTCTATCAATAGACAAGTTAGAGTCTTATCTATTTCACCAAATTTCAAACAATAAATATTCAGAAAGAAAATATCGATCAATTTGTAATAAAGGGTATAAAGAATAATCAATTGCAAAAAATATATAAATTATCAAAGAACGTCGCAAAAAACAACCAAATAGTTAAAAAGAAATAACTATTATAATATCAAAATTAAGTTTATTTGTATTATTCTATTCATTAGAGATGTGTTGTACTGTAAATTGTATTAAATATTGCTTTATATTTTTAATATAATTGAAAAATAAGATCTTAGTAAAAAGAAAAAAAAACTCTGTAAAAATTCGAAGACATTTTCCAGACCATTATCTGAACCCAACCTGGTACACATCAGGGTTTGTATCTACTGCGTCAAGGCAATTTTTTTTCATGAAAAGCAAAAAAAAAGCCTGATTGTGCAGATTTAAATAGGAAGCCATATTGATGTCTTTTTTATTTTTTGATAAAAAAGTCAATCTTGACTACTTTAAATTATTATGTATTGTTGGTCAAGAGGCATTTGGAAAGGTACATATTTAAATTTTTCAATAGAATACTGTTCCTAATTTAATTCATAATTTGATACTTTTTTTTTTTTTACAGGTTCAAATTGTTAAATGATGTGACAATAAAAAACTCTTTGCATTAAAGTATATTTTAAAGGAAGAATGCATCAAGATGGATGCGCTGAATAATGTACTCTGGAAACAATCTATACTGGAAGAATTGGATCATCCATTGGTTTGCAATCTACGTTTTGCATTTCAAAATGATGAATATATGTATATAGTCATGAATCTTATGTAAATTCATAAATCAATTATATCACCTTTATTTTGCTCTAACTTCTTAATTGATATTAAATTGTTTTTTTTGTAGGATTGTAGTGATTTGAGATTTCACTTAAATCGAAAAACTTTTACCGAAGATGTAATTCAATTTGGATAGCAGATATCTAGATTCAAAAGGGTCGTTCATAGGTAATATAATAATCATTGTAATTTCATTATATATAGTTAATTAATTAATCTTAATTATACATCGCAGAGATATACTCCAGCAGATGAAGATGGAAGAAAGAAATTTTTATTGCCACTCATGGTTAAAATGGGTTGTAAAAATTTATTATTATTATTATTATTATTGTGTTTTATTTTTTTTAAATTAATTAATTTATTATTTTTTTTATCAATAAATATTAGTAATTGTCGGACTATAATCAGGACTAGGACTGAGGATTGGAAATTATTTGGTCTTTGGTTTTTATAGTCTGGTCCTGGTCTTTACAAAGACTAATCTGTCCTTAATATAGAATTAAGGCTAGAGAATTGGTATTATAATTAAAAATAGGATTAAGGCAAAGGTTCAGGTTGGTATTAGTGGTTTGATTAAATAATCAAAGCAAAGCATTAGGTTGGTATTAGTGTTTTGATTAAAAATAGAGTTAAGGTTGGGTTAGTATTAGTGTTTAGTAAGTAATAGAGTTAGAATTACAGAATTAGTAAGCTTATAACACATATTCAATGTATAAAAATAATAATAAAATCTAAATAAAAAAAAACTTTAAAATTGATAAAAAAAAAAAAAATACAAAAAATAAAACACTTAATAAATTGTTTTTATAATTAGCTGAGTTAATTATAAAATTATAAGAATCCCAATGCAACTAATCTTATTTTTATTTACATACTATATATTACCAGAATAGTGGTTAGATTCTTGCCAAACTTTTTTGCATTAATTACTTACTATTTCACAAGTAATCTAATTTTCTTTTTACTACTACAGGTTGAATAAAGGCAAATTAGACATTATATAATCCTGATATAAAACTGATTTGAAACAGATTTTTGGTGCAAATAGAAGACCTTTAAGATACAAATCAGGCTCATATAGATGTTCAATATATACTAGAATATTAGTAGTTTTATAAGTGAATCTAAAAAATTATAATACAAGCTTTATCAATTTATCTATAGAGCTATCAGCATTCTAATATGCTTTGAATGCCTATATAAACCCAATGTGTATCTTAAAGATCTCTTATTTGTGCCAAATATCTGTTTCATAATGCAAATTTGTCTTTATTTGACCTGTATATATAATATGGGTTACTAAATAGCAAGTATATTTAGTAGTGAGCTTTTTTTATAAAAAAGACTATAATAATTCCAATGTACTATATATATTGGTAACAAAATAGGTTCTACTTTAAAATCCTAAAAGACAGATTTCCAAAAAAAACATAATACTGACAAAGTTGGTTAGCATTAGTTATAATGCTAGCCAATTTAGTTAGTATTATATCCTTTCAGAAAAATAGCTTTTGGGATTTCAAAGTAGAACCAACAAAATAACAAGTAAGTTCTGCAACAAAATTTCTTACAGTAATTTACAAACAATTTCAATACAAGCTTAACTATAATATATTGCAAGAATATTAAGTAAGTTCTGTAATAAATTGTTATTGTACTTTATTCTAAAATCATCCTCTTTTAATACAAATTAGCATAACCTTATCTATCTATTGTATCTATATTAAATTTTCTATATTGCAGTGCCTCAAATCATACTAATTTAATAAATTCTAATTATTTACTATATTATTAAGATTGTGAATAAATTTTGTAGTAGATTTTTTTATTTAATAATCCTAATACAAACAATTTTATCAATAACTCATACTGTATATTATTGTAATAAAAAGTAAATAATAGAGTTTTTTATTATATTTTATAATTAAATTCATTATAATTCTAATATATGGGGGTTTTACTTTGAAAATGACCTTACAGGACTATGTAGATTTTATAAATAAAAATTAAAATTTCTAGCTATTTGATAATTCAATTTAAATAAACTCTTTTTTATTTGTACTGGATTATTAGATAGCTAGAAATTTTAATTTTAATTTATAAAATCTACATAGTCTTATAAGATTATTTTTAAAGCAAAAACCCTATATATTAATTTATTTTTAATTTTATATTACATGTTATTAGAAAAATAAGCAAATTTTATAAAAAAATTAATTTATAATAAAAATTACAATAGTTTTACTATATGCTCAATTTTAATTACATATTTCAAGTAAATTTATTTTTATATTAAATTTTTCCTATGCATTATTGCACGGGTTTACAACTAGTAGAATATATAATTAAGTAAAAAATTGTTATTTTAATGGACTTGAAGTTGAAAAAGATGAATATAAAGCTATTATCAAAAATTAGCAGAAACAGGTGAACATTTAATATTAGATATTAATATAATAAAAAAGTTGGAGTTAAACTATTCATTTTCAAATATAATCTAGATAAGAAATTGATTTGTTTTTAATAGAATTGAAGTTGAAAAAATGAATATAACCCATTTATCTGTTGTTAAAATCAGCAGTGATAGATAATACTATTAGAATATAATTATAAATTATCATAAGAGGGTAAAAAATATTGGCATGGTAGTATGAGTATAGATTAGTATAGAGGTTGAATTCATGAATATTCACAGTTGAAAATAGATATTCATTGAATATCCAATATTTGGGTTTACAAAATTTATAAATAGTCAAGGGTTTGTAATTGATATAATTGATTTATTTATATTCATATATTTGTATATAAATATTTATAGTTACAATAATAGATGGATATCCATTCAAAATTTGAATATTCATTCAATGCTATTTATAAACATCAAAATCTATAAATATTTACTGAATAGCTATGATGGATATTCAAGAGATCCAATCTCTAGATCAGTAGAAATCAAATATCTTTTAGGTATTTTTAAATTATTATCATGTTTCAAAACATCTAATTCATTCACTGATTTATATTTATACTACTATGCCAATATTTTTTTACCCTCTTATAATAATATTAGATATTGTTAATGAAGAAATTGTATTTGAAAAAAGATAAACATAAAACTTTCATTTATTTTCAAAAATCTGCAGAGATGGGTGTTAATAGAATACATAATTGGGTAAGTTATTTAAAATTATTCAAGGAAAGGTTTTTATTGAATTACTAAAGATAGTATTTTATTTGGATTTTTGACAAACTGACTTTTTGAAATTTTTTAATCATATTACATTTCTTACAACTAATCCTCTTAGTTTAAAAAATCTGTACAACAAATCTAATATATTTGTGGACTAACTTCAATTACTAGAAAGGAGATACACTTTAAATTTAGAGTTAGCAGTATTGGCATTAGACATATAGTTCAATAATTTAAAAAAAATATTAAATATATAAAGTTTTATATATTAAATTGTTTTTAAAAACATCAGGCATATGTTCAATACCAACACTAAGGGTTAGATAGTTAAAAAGAGAATTTTTTAGGCAGCTTTTTTGATAGAGTACTTGATAATATATTTATGTAGCTATTAAATAGTTGTATTATATAGTTAGTTAATAAAGAATATATTTGAATAAATACAAACAATTATACTGTAATTTGAATTATAATAATTAATATAATAAAATGATTTTTTTATTTTTTTAAATCTTTTTGATTTTATATACAGTATACTAAACTAGAGAATTGGTGTGCTAGGTTGTGTAGGCTCTAAACTAGCAGGTAGAGTGGAGTTAAACTAGTAGATAGTTGAACTCTAAACTAGTGAGTAGGTTAAATCTTAAATTAATAAGTAGAAATGTTTTGAAGTAATATATAAGTAAATTCTGTAATAGTAGATAATATATATAGCTAAGTTTTTGATTGTATATTTACTATAAAATGAATTTAGAATTGTGGGCAGAAAACTAATAGCTTGATAGTGGTTTGAGACAACTATATAATATTTAAAAAAAGTTTATTTGTTGGGTTACTATATAACATTACAAAATACAAAAAAACTATATACAATCAGGGATATTAAAAGTTCAACTCAACTTCAAAAATCAAGTCACAGGTAGATTAGAGAAGTTTAAAAGTCAATTGCAAGCTAAAATATAATTGGGCTATCTATAGTATTATAATGAATATATATTCTATAGAAAATAAACATATAATAAAAATATCATATTTACAAATTGGGATTTTCATTAATTAATTTGCATTGTAATTACTTAGTAAATGTAAATCATTTTTTCCAATTGGCTTACAGATTATCAATTAATATTTTTTTTATCATAAAAAAAAAAAAAAAATCAAATTACCAGTAGGGTAACTATACCACAAAAATGGTCTATGGTAATGCATAGTATGGTCATTCATATTAAATTCTATTTTTTGTATTATATATTAATCTAGTAAGAATTATGATCTAAATCATCTTTATTTTCAATCCTAAATATATGGGTGAGTTAGTAGAAATGAGACAAATTTATTAGATAAATTTGTTCCATTTCTACTAACTCACTCCTATATTATAGATCTATCTGTTTAGAATTAATGAATAAAAATATTTGCATTAGTGTTCGAAAACAGATTAAAAATCTTGGTTAATCCGAGATTAATTTGAATTTGATTTGAATCTATAATTTGAATTGAATCCAGGAGTGATTCGTGCCAATCTGACAGTTAATCCATGGTTTGTCACAATATTTGTTACAATTTATGTAATAAATTCGAATTTGTCATATAATAAATTCGAATATATTATATATATTGTAATATAAAGTGTGATAAGTTCGAATTTATCATGTGCCAAATTCGAATTTATCACATGTGATGATTATATAAAGACAACCTAAAATTAGGCCCAATTCTACTCAATCTGGGCCCAATCCACAATTCAGGGTCCAAAACTAATCTGACAGTTTGGATCTGCACAAATCCAAATCTGATCTATGCTAACTTTTTCAAATACTAATCTACATTAATCTGAATTATCAGATATTTGGTACTATAGTAGCATTATTAACTATAATTATTAAATATTTAAATTTTTTAAAACTTTTTTAAATATAAAAACCTTTTTTAAATATATATAT